TGACAAGATCCAAAGGTAGTTTACCTATTCCTTGACAGATGGCGGTCTATCAAACATAAAAACAAACACAATTTTATGAAATTCACACTAAGAAAATCTATACTAATAAAAGAGTAAAGAGATTGACTGACTGACTTAACGATTCATCAACGCCCAGACAAAACGGCTGGAGATAGAATCTTATGATGTGGGGTGAGGCTGGGTTTTTGAAAATTTGTACTATTTGTATCTGGCGAACCGGTGCAGCTAGAACTCTGAGATTTGGATTGAGGTTAGTTGATGGAGTGAAGAATAAATGTAGCAAAGGGTTTTTGGACATCCGAACTATAAGTATCCGAAAAGTACTAAAATGTACAAAAATTGGTACAATTTCGAAGCATGCGAATGGAAGAGCTAAAAACTTGAAATTTGGAAAGCAAATAAAGGTTGAGATGTAGGTTCGATATAAGGAGGTGGTTCTGAAAATGTGTACACATATTTTGGTACAATTTTTAATTGGAGTTACAAATGAAGCTGGAATCCTGAAATTTGAAATTAACATTACCGCCCGAGTATAGGATTGGAATATGTACGTAGTTTTGGAAATTTTTTATTTATGTGTACGAAAAGTACAGATTCGTTCTATAATAGGTACAATTTGGATTTGGTTGAACCAATAGAGTTGGGATCCTGATATTTGGAGTTATTATCATTGTTGGGGTGTAGGATTGGAGTATGTAGGGAATTTTGAAAATTCGTACTAATGTTTACTATATGGGGCCAAATTTGGTTTGGGTGAACCGATAGAGCTGGAATCTTGACATTTGGAGTTAGGATTACTGTTAGTGGCAGAATTGAGCTATTTAGGAAGTTTCAAAAATTCCTACTAATGTAAACTAAATGTTGTACAATTTATGAAGTTTTGGAAATCTGTACTAAATGGTACCAAATGTGGATTTGGGTGAACCGATTGAGCTGGGATCACTTTTGGGGTGTAGGATTTTTCGATACGAAAATCAAGGTATTGGTAAAATTTAAATATCTTTTGAACATGTTGTGATGTTTGGAACATTTAAACGGTAACGAGCAGCTTTTTGATGATTCTTAAATTCTTAAAGATTCTTAAAATAATCCAAGCCTTGTGTTGGACCATTAATAAAATATTTTTTTAAAAAATGGAGGCCTTGTTCACTAAAAAATATTTGTTAAAAATCCACTCCCTAAAATATTCTTAAGAAGTAATAACGTGTCAGTCGGTGTTATCGACAGATTTATACCCTCATCCTATGGTTTGCTGAGGAGGACTTCGGAGTTATACACAGGTTTTATTATTCGTTTTATATAAGGTATATGTTTAATTAAAGATCTTTCGAATTTTATGTTAATCAAATATATAATATTGACCCTTTTTGTAGGATGTACCAGAGGAGAGGACAGACCTTCGGAGTTTTTGTTGTTTTGGCAGTTTATATGAATTATATTTTTTTCTGTTTAAATGTCTCCAAATTTAGAAATGCAGCTACCTCCACTGGCTGTAACCACAGATCATCTGGAGTAAGATGAGCAAATTTGGCTGGGCAATCGAATAAGTGCAGTGTAGTCTGAGGGCCCGTACCATATGCAGACATCCTGCACGTGGTCATCAATCCGTGCCCAACACGAATTGAGACGACTGCACCATCCTCAACGTAATTGGGCCAAAACTACTCTGGTTTGTCTGGGCAGCTGACGCTCTTCAGATGCTATGGGGAGGGGATGAGCTCCGAGGACGGCGTTCAATATGTACCCGTTCAGGGCTGCGGCTACTGCATCAGTATGACCTGCTCGATAGGCAACTTGATCTAGAGGCTCCCTTTTGTAACCCCTCTCTCCCTCTAGATCATGTAGATCCTTCCTGACACGCCTGGGTTGAGGAGTCCTATCCACCATATGATGGTTGCAATTATTGTCCCTGAAACTCCCGAGAAGGTACTGCATCGAAAGCATATTGCTATGCTGACGTAAGGGAAGGATCTTTGTCTCCTCATGAAGATGGTCCACAGGTCTGAATACTTCTCCATTGCGTTTCACTAGAGTTCGCAGACCACGCTGGAAACGCATAGCTTGCCACAGACCGACCTATCGCTTTGAAAGAGGTCAACAAGGTTTCCTTACCTGCGCCCCAAGTGCTGCATTCGGAGTTGAACTCGGCTTGGTAAAGATAATAGTTTGTGCAAAATTTGGTTCAAATTTGGCATTCCATTTGCCTGATATTGAATTCAAAAATATTAAAAATATTTACCCTTTGTTGTACCTCCAGAAGAAGTGGACCGATGAGTACCATCTTCAAACTTGATCTAGGTTTCGTTAATAGAATATGGTGTGTAAAATTGGGTTCAAATCGGACATTCCAATTGCCTGATATTGGATTTATAAATATTGACAATTTGTGGGGAGATACCAGAAGGAGTGGACCAAAGGGTCCCGTCTTCAAACTTGATCTAGGTTTGGTAAAGATAATATGTTATTGCAAGGTTTGGTTACAATCGGATAGTCCGTTTGCATACTATTATAAAATTAATTTATCAGGAGTGGACCGATATTCGCCATCTTCGAACTTAAACTAAGTTTGGAAGAAATATAAAGATCTCCAAAGTTTGAATGAAATTGATTATTCTCTTCGAGAGTTATCGTGCGCACCACCCAGCCAGACAGACAACAGACGGACGAACGTACATGTGTTAATCGACTCCAAATTTTCTTAAACGGATTTGGTCCAAAGAAACATGGGGTCTAAAAGCAATATTTCCGTGAGGCATATTTTCACCGTATCAAAGTGTATATACCCTCATTAGCCATGAGGCTGAGGGTATAAAAAATACACGTCATGTGGTTTATCAAAATTTATACTTGAAAAATCCAAAAATCGTCGCCTTGTGTATGTCCCTTAAAAAATATCCTTAAAAACCCACTCTTTGTGTTGGTCCTTTTTATACACCACACTGTGGTACAGGGTATCATGTATTTGTGCATATGTTTGTAACAGGCAAAAGAAAACGAGATAGACACATGGTTCCTTTTGAGAATATGCATAGAATCACTTTTTAAATCGATTTATGCATGTCCGTCTGTCCGTCTGTCCATGTTAAATTGTAAACAAAGTACAGGTCGCATTTATTATCCGATTTGGCTGAAATTTGGCACAGCTCACTTATTTGGCCCAAGGACGAACCCTATTGAAATTGGGAAAAATCGGTTCAGATTTAGATATAGCTCCCATATATATTTTCGTCCGATTTAAGGTAAATGAGGCACCAAAGTCCATATATATATGTTTCGATTTGCACGAAATTTGGCATAGCGTACTGAATAAGTTTCAGAATAATGTGTGCCAATTTTCGAGAAAATCGGTCCAGATTTATATATAGCTCCCATCAGCAACGTACACAGGATTTAATTTCGGGGGGGCCCGGTAGTACAAAATGAAAAAATTCGCTGTTGCAAACATAAATTTACTGTGAAAAAAATTCATTTCGGGGGGGGCCCGGGCCCCCAGGGCCGCCCCCCTGCGTACGTCCCTGGCTCCCATAGTTTCGTCCGATTTCATGTAAATGGTGCACCAAAGTCCCCATATATCATTCGATTTGCACGAAATTTGGCACAACGTACTGAATTGAGCCTAAAATAATGCGTGCCAAGTTTCGTGAAAATCGGTCCAGATTTAGATATAGCTCCCATATATATTTTCGTCCGATTTTATGTCAATGGTGCACCAAATTCCCTATATATCATTCGATTTGCACGAAATTTGGCATAACGTACTGAATTGAGCCTAGAGTGATGTCTGGCATGTTTCGAGAAAATCGGATCAGATTTAGATATAGCTCCCATATATATTTTCGTCCGATTTAATGTAAATGGTGCACCAAAGTCCCTATATATCATTCGATTTGCACGAAATTTGGCATAACGTACTGAATTGAGCCTAGAGTGATGCCTGCCAAGTTTCGTGAAAATCGGTCCAGATTTATATATAGCACCCAAATATAGTTTCGTCCGATTTCATGTAAATGGTGCACCAAAGCCCCTATATATCATTCGATTTGCACGAAATTTCGCACATCGTACTAAATTGAGTTTCGTGAAAATCGGTCCAGATTTAGATATAGCTCCCATATGAAATTAGTATAACTTAACCTGTGACAAGTTTCGTTGAAATCGGTTCATAGTTGGATATAGCTTCCATATATATTTTCGCCCGATTTTAAGTAAATTGGGCATCAACCTCCTCATGTTAATCAGATTGATGTAACAAACGAATGACATGTTTATGGATAGATCCAGGTAGATTTACATTTCCAATTTCATGTTAATAGTCCTGTTTAATATACCTATAGTGATGAAGGGTATCATATAGTCGGCCCCGTCCGACTTTACTACTTTCCTTACTGGTTTAAGTCTTTCAAATGTAGGTTCTTGACAAATTATTCACAAAAAAAGTATTTTCAATATTTAATTTTATTTGATTATTTACTTTTGATTTGAAAATTATACAGAAATTAAATATAAATAATATTCTTATTAGAAGAAGACTCAACTATATCTCGATGGAATTATTTTGATGTTTGTGTGTGTGTGTATGTATATACCCAATGATTCGATCATGTGGCATGTTCTTAGAGATTATACATGAATGGGCCTCCCCTGTTGGCAAATATTTGGAATATTTTGGGTTTTGAATGGTAATAATAATAAATATTTATACGTATGTATGTCTATCTCAAATGAATAAATTATAAATAATATTTTATTTAAGGAATATTGTGGACGAGTTGTTGGATAATCAAATAGAGAATAGGATACAGTATACGTATAAAGATGTTTGTTTGTATGTATGTAGGTGTATAAACTTAACAATGGTATTTAATAATAGTAATATGTATATCGATATCTGATACAAATTAAACTTAAAACCATAATTTCTTTTGCTGTTATGATTATTTAACTACTACGACAATCCAAAGGGGATGTGGCCACACCCTCTAAACCTCATTGGTTTTCTCCAGATTCCGTAACTTCTGATACATACTAATGTAGTGGCTTTGCAGCTGTTTTTGATACTGCAGTACCTTTTCCTTTTCGGCTGACCACTGACGTTTCTCCTGTTCGAAATTGACACGCACCACATCCAATTGTTTTCGTAATTTGGCAATTTCTTCAGCATAACTGGCCGATTCTTCAATCAGGGTGTCTAAGGTGGCCTCTTCGAGCGGACAATTGGCCAACTTCGTTGAAAGTTTGGTATTCAAAGCAATGTCGGGTAGGTTCTGTGAACCATACACAAAATTCTGTATATCCGAAGACATTTTTGCCAGACGCAGCTCACAATTGAGTTTATTCAGTTCACGTTCATGATAATTCGCATCGCCCTTCTCCACGCCATTCTCCTCCTCCAGCTGAGGCGGAGAGATTTTCAAACAATTGATGATAACCTCCAAATTTGTTTCATCAATAACTTTTTCCGTTGCTTCTGGCTGATGATCTTGTTTCTCTTCGTTTTTATGATTCTCAATACGTTGTTGGGTGTGTTTGCGGGTCTTATTGCAAATATCTGTCAGATTGTCCAGCTGCTGCTTCAGTCGTGTATATTTACCCGATGGTTCTTCACCATATTCATGAAATATTGCCAAATCGGATAGCTCCTTGCGCAGCTTGGCCAATTCATTGGTCAGTGCCAATATGACCTGATCCTTGAGAATGATGATTTTATTGAGCTGCTTCAATTCCGTTTGGGTTTCTTTTTGCGATTGGGCATTTTGTTCGACCTCCTGCATTTGTTGTTGTGTGATTTTCTGGTTCTCTTGTAGACTTTGGTAAATTTGTGTTTCGGCATTGGTATTTTCATGTTTCAGATGGACTATAGCGTGTTCTTTGAGGGTTAATTCGTTCTGTAAAAAAATTTAGGTGTTTGGAAATTAACTTCGGAATTTGAAAGAAAAATCGTTGATGGACTCACCGTTGCCTCTTTGAGTTGGGTTTTGAGTAAAGCTATTTCTCCGTTTTTCTCACACACCTTCCATTCGCTCTCCTCCAACTGGGCCTTGAGTCTGGCCACAGTATTTTGACTTTCTTCATATTGCTCCTCGATGTAAGCCGATCGATCTTTCAGATTTCTTTCGGAATTCTTTATGCTTATATTGTTGGTCCTGCAAGAGATATACAATAAACTGTTTATATGCCGTTTTTATAAAAAAAACAGTAAGGAAAATAGTGAAGTCGGATTGGTCTGACTATTTTATACCCTTCACCACTTTGGGAATGTTCTACAGACGTCGCCTTTTCGAATCGTTATCTATAAGTAAACCGACTAACATCAAACTCAAACTTAGCACACATCATTCTAGATCTAATTGAGTACCCCATGCCAAATTTCGTGTAAATTGAAAGATATATAGAAACTTTGTATCCCCATTTACCATAAATCAGACGAAAATATATATGGGAGCTATATCTAACTCTGACCCGATTTTCTCGAAACTTGACACACATCATTCTAGACTTAGTTCAGTGCACTATGCAAAATTTCGTGCAAATCAAAAGATATGTAGGGACTTTGGTACACCATTTACAAAAAATCGGACAAAACTATATATGGGAGCTATATCTAAATCTGAACCGATTTACACGAAATTTAACACACATCATTCTAGGCCTAATTCATTACGCTGTGCAAATCGAAAGATATACATGGACGTTGGTGCCCCCTTTAACTTAAATCGGGCGAGACTACATACGGGAGATATATCTAAAACTGAACCGATTTTCACGAAACTTGGCAGACATCAATCTAGGTTCAATTCAATACGTTATGCCAAATTTTGTGCAAATTGAAAGATATAAGTGAACTTTGGTGAACCATTTACATTAAATCGGACGAAAAAAAAATATATAAATCTGGATCGATTTTCACGAAACATGGCAGACATCATTCTAGGCTCAATTCAGTGCGTTGTGCCAAATTTCGTGCAAATCGAAATATATATGTGGTTTTTGGTGCACCATTTACATGAAATCGGACGAAGCTATATATGGGAGCTATATCTAAATCTGGACCGATTTTCACGAAACTTGGCAGACATCACTCTAGGCTCAATTCAGTACGTTATGCCAAATTTCGTGCAAATCGAAAGATATATGTGGTTTTTGGTACACCATTTACATGAAATCGGACGAAGCTATATATGGGAGCTATATATAAATCTGAACCGATTTTCAAGAAACTTAGCACACATTATTATAGGCTTATTTCAGTACGGTAAGCCGAATTTCGTGCAAATCAAAATATATATTGGGGTTATTGGTACACCATTCACCTTAAATCGGACGGAAATAAATATTGGAGCTATATCTAAATCTAAACCGATTTTCGGGAAACTTAACACACATCATTATAGACCTAAATCTTTAGGCTTTGCAAAATGTCGTTCAAATTGAAAGGTATATAGGGACTCTGGTGCACCATTAACATTAAATCGGACGAAATTATATGTGGGAGCTATATTTAAATCTGAACAGGTTTTCCCAATTTCAGTAGGGTTCGTCCTTGGGCCAAATAAGTGACCTGTGACAATTTTCGTCCAATTAGGATCATAAATGCCACCTGTACATTGTTTACAATTTAACATGGACGGATGGACGGACATGTATAAATCCACTTAGAAAGTGATTCTATGTATATTCCCAAAAGGAACTATGTTTCGATCTCGTTTCCTTTTGCCTGTTACAAACATATGCACAAAGACATAATACCCTGTACCACAGTATGGTGAAGGGTATACTAATTTACCACCCTTATAGACCCTCAAAAATGATTCTTTAAAAAATCCACGCCTCTTATAAACCCTCAAAATTTTTTTAAAAAATCCACGCCTCTTAAAGACTCTCAAAAAATATTCTTTAAAAAATCCACGCTTTTCGTAGAACCTAAAACTGATTCTTAAAAAATTCGCGCCTTTTATAGACCCTCAAAAAATATTTTTTAAAAAATCCACGCTTTTCGTAGAACCTATAAATTTTTTTGTTAAAAAATCCACGCTTTTCGTAGAACCTAAAAATTATTTTTTAAAAAATCCACGCTTTTCGTAGAACGCCTCTTATAGACCCTCAAAAATTATTCTTTAAAAATCCACGCCTCTTATATAGACCCTCAAAAATTATTCTTTAAAAATCCACGCCTCTTATAGACCCTCAAAAATTATTCTTTAAAAATCCACGCCTCTTATAGACCCTCAAAAATTATTCTTTAAAAATCCACGCCTCTTATAGACCCTCAAAAATTATTCTTTAAAAATCCACGCCTCTTATATAGACCCTCAAAAATTATTCTTTAAAAATCCACGCCTCTTATAGACCCTCAAAAATTATTCTTTAAAAATCCACGCCTCTTATAGACCCTCAAAAATTATTCTTTAAAAATCCACGCCTCTTATAGACCCTCAAAAATTATTCTTTAAAAATCCACGCCTCTTATAGACCCTCAAAAATGATTCGTTAAATAATCCACGCCTCTTATAGACCCTCAAAAATTATTCTTTAAAAAATCCATGCCTCTTATCTGCTATAGGAGCTCTTCTATTTTTAAAACTTATTTAAAAGAACCAGTGAGCGGAGCAGTATAGTCGGACGGGGCCGACCATACGATACCCTACACACCTACCACGGAACTCAAATTTTCTGCGGATGTATATTCCGGGCCTGGGCAATATTTCGTGATATTTGCACCCTCTTACCCGATTAGAGGTAAACAGCACCTCTTCCTTACACTGACATATTTTCCGAATATTATGAGTATTCAGTACAGCTATTGTCCAGCTATTGTTCAGTGCAGCTATTGTCCTTACACTGACA